CTCTCCAGCAAGTAAATAGATTAATCCAAGGTTTGATCTTGGCAACCAAGGATAAAGTGGATCAATATGAACCTACCACAAGGGATTTACAAAGCCTCCACATTATTGCATGACAAGTTAGTTAAAATCGACCCAAAACTGATATACAGTGGGTACGGAAAGTATTCAGACCCCCTTAAATTTTTCACTCTTTGTTATATTGCAGCCATATGCTAAAATCATTTAAGTTCATGTTTTTCCTCATTAATGTACACACAGCACCCCATATTGACAGAAAAACACAGAATGTTTGACATTTTTGCAGATTTATTAAAAAAGAATCTTTCCGTACCCACTGTATAATGAGCTGTCTCTTTTTCCAGTATATTTTACTCCTCTGTTTCTTTTTGTCTCCTTTGATCCGTATAGACCAAAGTTCATGAAACATTTAGCAACATGACTTATAGATTGGAAATCTTCAGGAACAATGAGCAGTGGATCTACAGCTCACACAGACAGAAACACTATGATTCAGACATAACGGTCACAGACACTACAGTATACAACGTTTGACTTAAAAGTGATGAATCCACAGAGTATTTACAGCGGTTACAGCTGTATTGTTGCCATGGTCTGAAACGTGACTCCAGTCATGTGGCTTTTGTTTAACAACTCTAAGAATTAAAGCCACACTGGCCATTCTCAACCACTGGCCTTCCCTGTGCCGCTACGGAAGAATATCACCCATGTCAGCCATCACCTCTCTTCCTCTCTCTCTCTCTCTCTCCCATTCCAAAAACATGCAAAGATAAGCAGAAACACTCTGTGATTTACTGGCAAACTTGGCCTGTCTATTTGAAGCCACTAGGCGTAAGTAGAACGTAATGTGAGTTTGTCACCCTGTTCATTGGGAAATGACCCATAAACTCTGTTTCTGGTTATGAACGAAAATATCCCACCATCTGGCCTGTGTGTGGTCTGGTAACACAGAACAGGTAATGAAGCGCACACTCATGTTGAGTGATGAGATACTTGTGTAAGCTGACCGGCGGAGTCTTTTAAGAGACAAGAGACCTTATAGTACCGGTATTGTCTTTTTACATACAAGACACTGGAAAAACAAAGTAACTCAGATATTAACTTTGAGATCTGTTTTGCAGACTGTAATCTACAACACTGCATAGTAACACGGTTCTACACGGTGAGCATAACAGCAACGTGGTTTCATCAACAATTCCTCACTGAACCAAGCAAGCTCTTTGAACGGACTTATTCCTGAAAGGTGGAAAACAGTCATGCGAGAATGTTAATATAAATGCTTTGTAAAATCTTAACCACATGAAAACAAGCTGGAGGAGTTCCTGGATTTTACTGGTGCATATAAACCAAATGGGCCAGTTGTAGGGATGGGCTCCGACAGCTGGTTCTATTTTGGATCCGGCTCCAAGTTGATCACATACTCGACTACGTTGAGCTTCATGTCTGAACAACTCTCTTATCAAACTTTTCGTTGGTGTTCACTGTTTAGTTTACACTCTTCACACTGGGATATACAAACTCAAGATACTTCAGTGACCCTGGTGTTAACAAATGTTATGAGTTAACGTGCAACATATCAATCAAGTTTTAAAAACTGTTTAAACAAAAGGGTTGGAAGTGAAAAGTGCAATAATTGCAGGAAGCTACATAAAGGGAGGAACGACAAGTCATTCTTTCTCTAACATCCAACGTGTTAAAGGAAGAACTTGTGATATTTTTGATCACTTGAGGAGGACGCGCTGTCGGCCTCAACCTACAGCCCATGTAACACTTGATTCTGTGACCCGTCAGTGTCTCTGACCTGAGCCAGTTTGCCTCCAAGTAATGGCCATTGTGCCTCAGTGCTTTAATTGATATTCCGTGAAGGAATATACTTTCTCTCCACTGTTTTTACTTTAGCTTCCACAGAGTCAGCAGCTGCAGCACAACCCCCCCAGTGAGAAGCAAATACAGCAAAAGGAAAAGTGAGTGAGGACAGAGTTTATGAATGTCAGAGCAGTGATAAAATATGTGATAAAAGCCTCATAACCCTTCAACACAGCAGACCATGTTCCATGGTTTGATATTTCATTACTGTAGTGTCGATGAGAGTCAGTGTAATGCTAGTCTGGTGAATGGTCTATAATCACAGTTAAAATGACTTGTTTAATTTAAAAAAATGGGTCATTAGAAAAAGCTACATTCTTAAATATTAAGTTAGGATATCTTTTGTTACATCAAACATTTTAAATTCATTTTATTGCTGTGTTCATGGAAATAAAACTACCTTTTTGTAAACTAACTACTTATCCAGATTTGAAACTGGACTGAGATGTGACAAAATGCTATGAAACTCCACCCTTTTTCCTTTTCCACTTGTCACTGTGTACACACATGCAGTACCCAAACAACGTGACGTACAAAAACTTGCATTATGAACTTCTGTCATGTAACATCTGATGTCAGAGGTTATAAGCTGTTGGACCGATGGAGGCAAAAAAAACATATCATACTGTATATCAGTTAATACAGTGAAAGACCTGTATATAGAATAGTTGACCCAAACGGCACTGGGTGTTAAAGCTGGGTATTTTAAAAAGTTGCCATACAAACCCAGTTGGCACTTTCTTAGGCACACCAAGCTACAACAAATGCAGCCTGATCCAACAGCCCTGCACTAAATCCTCCTTCATAAAGGTGATAATGTGCAGCTTTTTTATTGAAAATGCTGATTCAACCATATGGGAATTTGGAGGCTGTAGTTTCTGCTTTGGAATATATTGCATTATACTGCCATTTTTCTTTTATATCAGTGAGGCTAGGCAAAATAACACAGGCAGCCTTGTTTGTAACTGCATTGCAACATTTACTGTCAGGGGACAGTGTGGCTAAGTCTCTTGTTACATAATAGCACTGATTTATCTCATGTAGCTCTGACACCGACTGCAAGACTGCAATGCACAGCCACAATTACGTATGTGGCAAAATAGATTATTCAGTGCACATTTGAAAAACACCGAATCCTGTGCACTTCTACTGTAGAAATTCTACTCCATTCATACATATTTTATTTGCCTTATTATTTTTAGCATTGATTCTCTGTGGGGTGGAAAATTCTGCCAGTGTAATTTTCTATTGCAATATCTTCATATGCCATTATCATTTTAATACTAGCCCCAAAGATCCAAAAAAGGTTTTAAATGTATTAGACTTTTATTGTGTCTTGGCTAAATGCTAGATTAAATGCAAAACAGTGTGATAGCACATCAAAATTAGACCTGATATTACATGTACTGGTTAAAATAACCAGAAGCAATGTCTTGTGAGGGCATAATGCTGGGTGGGAATATCTCTATTCTAACTTTATACACAGACCTGGACACCAATAAAACACATTTACACAGACATTATTACTACTACCCTGGGCAGGCGCTAAGCTAATAAAAGGCTGAAGCACAATTTGTTTATCAAAGCTGACAACAACATAAACAAAACTGAAGAAAAACTACAGAAATACTCAGGGACAAAATTTCTGGCATCAATCACATGCTTCTTCGCTACAAAAACAAAAGAAAAGAAAGAATAAAATGGGGTTTAGCAGCCTCAAACTAGATCTCCACACCTTCTGCACCTAATGTAATGTTATTTACTCTTCACTCTCACTAATACTGGCAAAAACATATTCATAACCAGACCCATGTGGAGGAAATATACAAACTATGTGTGTATTTCCTGTGTTCAGTGACGTGGTGCATTTAAAAGACAAATATCAGGAGTCTTGTGCTTGTTTATACAAAGGACAAATGCCTTTTGATGCATATCCTAGTGCAGCAATAGGCCTTTTTATACACCAACTTTGATTTGTCATAATATGACATCATAGGTGTTGCAAACTGCATTAACAATGGCACTACTCTTTTCAAATTATTCCACTAAATCAATGCACCAGTGAGCCAGCATGCACAGAACCAGGACCCTGAAACTGAAGCAGCTCATTAATGTTATTATTTACCCTTATTTACCCTTTAGCCACTATGACATGTCAAAACAAGTGCCTATCATAGACTGCATCTAAAGGAATAAGAGCATGGAGCAGGATACAGGCATCTCTAAATGCTATGACTGACAGTAAGTGTAACATCTTAGCTTTACATGTGCTGTCCATCTCATAAATGAACTTTGTAGATGGATTAGTCTTAACATGTAGGACAAGGATTAGCGTTGCATGCATGTAGGCAACTTGATATTATGACTCAATTCACTTGCGTTCACACTGGGTCTCACACCTTATTCATTTAGCCGCCGCGGGTTAGTTAGTGTATACTTTAGGACAAAATACTTTTCTCCAGTAAGAAGTTCCCTTTACCTTACCAAGTATGCTCTGTTTCCTCTTAATCACTGATTATCACACACACGTTTCACATTAATGTGATTAATTTCGGCAGTTTTTCCGAATCAAAACTAGCTTCACGATTAAAAAGAGTAAAGTGACCAAATGCCTCTGAGTTCAACTCCTGTGTAAGTGTCCTCCATGGGCCCAGCTGCCGTGGCCATGGCGGGGCCGGAGAACAGATTGACTTGTCAACACTGTCCTGTCAACAACCCCTCGGTTATAACTTAGCCTGGAGGAGACTACAGACATACAGAGGATGGCTAGGTCGTGGAGCTATCTGTCGCAGAAATATTTCTCATTCAAGTGAAGAAGCCAGGCACCTAGGGCAATGCGCTCGACATTCACCAAAAAACTCCTTTAAAACAATAAAGCCCTGGCTACTTTAGCTCCAGAACAAAATCCCCGTTCAGATGATGGAAATGAAAAGTCGGACAACTTCCTTTGGTTGCTCCAATAAGTCTAAGCAAACTCTTCGAAAGAAAGAATGTGAGGAGACATACCAAGCAGGGAGCACTTCAGGTTCACATCGCCCCCTTCCTCGATCCCACCCGCACACAGAAGCGTGTCCGCGCACTGGCAACATTAGTATCCTTGTGCTTTAAAAACTTACCAACAGTACTTGAGCCTGACCCCGAACCAAGCAGAAGGTACCAGATCCACATCATACGGGCTCCTTTCCCCCCGACTTGCTCTCGCTGTCCTGCCCCGCAGCAGGGCCAAAAAACGGGTGCAAAAAGGAAAACTTCTCCGATACAGCTACTCCTTTCTGGTGGACTTTTCAAGTGGGACTATTTCTTATGATCTCCTGGGGAAATTAAAACTACATTTGGCGAGAGAGAATAGAAGTGGGGAAGGTGGTATGGAGTCCGGTTTGGGGAGGGGGGATGGTATACAAACTGGAGCCAGAAGAGGCTTCGGGGTGGCGGCAGACTGGCTGTGGAGTCGCTCGCTCGTTGGTGCTGAGGGAGGCGGAGTCGGAATCAGAGAGCCGGGGAGCGCAGGTCGGTTCAGGTCGGGCAGTCCAGCCTGTCCCCAAAACTACTAACGGTACCACTATGAACATCAGGAATTGCTCGATTTCACAACAAAGTTACCCTCAAACAGCAAAAGCAGGGGACAAGGTAGCCAGAACTTCCATCTCCAAAATGAGGGTCACATCTTCCTGTTATGGCTTTTCTGGATATGAAAAACGAGGGAGGCCTGACTGAGGACCACATAACTACATTTACATTGAACTTCTTCTTTTTATTTCAAAAGCGAAAAGAGGCAGCAGATAGCAGCTTTTAACAAATATTATTCTTATCTCATTGTAAATGATAGGATGGCCTATTATGCAAACTACACCAGTCCATGCTATTTTAAGAACAGCCTATCATACTAGGGTTATTATATAATAAAGTAAGCCCACAGAAGGTCATTATGAAGTCAACACACTGTATAACACAAACATGTAAGAAATATTATGCAAATCTTTACTGTGCTTTCATTCAATATGAATGAAAATATTTTTCAAACTGTAAAACTTGATATGGAGGCAACAGATGGCACGGGGGAAACTATTTGGAGCAATCTTTTTAACAGATGGTTTGCTTTGATGAAAGTTAAAAGAGGCAAATACTTGTAGAAAATCAAAGCATAAAAGGATTCTTGGTGTGACAGAGAAAGTGAGGTAGACAGATTTCTCCTTTCCTCTTGTATTTCTGATGTTCATATGAAAACTCAGCTCTAGAAACCTGTGTGAGTAGAGTGAGGAATTTACCTGGTGATCTAAGAACACCAATGTAACTGTGGCAGGACTGGGAATAAGAAAAACACACATTTAAACTCCAGAGTGTTATCTTTACAATAATACCATGGGCATGAATGAACTCTAAAGAGCTTTGGAATAATACAGGCTAAAATGTACATAGCCATGAAATTATCCCAAAAGGCACATATACAGAACTACAAGGCAAAAAGGAAGGAGGAAGGTGCCCTGATACTTTATATTTATGCTCTGATGCCAATTGAATTAGAGAGAGACACAGAGAGGGACAGGAGGCATCATCTATCTCCTCTTTATCATGGAGCCACAGCTGTGTGCAGACAGACAACCTCGTGTCAAACGAACTCCTCCTTTTGATAGCATGCTAACCCAGGGCCTATGATTGGGATGAGTCCCAATATCAGACTCTTTCAGCTCACTTGATATTCATCCTCTGTCTTATCAAGGCAAAGCCTAGTGCAGACTCAAACACCAGGGGAGGTTCTTGGCATGTGGGTCGGATCTGTTAAAACTTAGTCAAAGATTCCAGCCTGATAGCTTCTGCAGGGGCCTGATGTCCTCAGATCTCCTCCATTGTTCCCTGCAGTGCCTTATGTATTTCAGTCTGTTATGATGAATCCTGATGTTAGATGGTGACGCATGCATGCTATATAACCACTCTTGAAAAATTTACGGTTAGCAGATATGGATAGTTTAATGATTGCCACAGTTAACAAAAGCAATCTTTTCAACACAAATCCAGAATACAATCAACACTAATAAAGCTAAATACTTTTTGAGGAGGAGGAAGATTTGTCTGTCAGTGTTAAATGCATTTTATTCTGCTCCCCTGGAGATATCATTAATGTTAATACTGGGCTGTCTCACCAATTATACAGCCTGATCCATGAACCAGAATGATATAATCTGTTTTGGGAGAGCTGTGTATGAGAGGGCTGCAAACTATACGCAGAAGTGGGCTCAACTACATTACTGATTGGCACAGAGTATTTCCGTAATGGCCATAAATTAGTTTAGGCTATCTATAAACAGCTCAGACCTAATTAGCCGCTGACCAACAAATGGGCTCATTAAGGGACATTAAACTTTAATATGAAGGTTGTTATTGACTTAATCGCAGGAGAAACCCAGTTAGTGGCCAGATTTGGAAAATGACTCAGAGATAGTGTGACAATCTGATTGGTGAAGAGGGTGGAGTGTAGCATCCTGGGATGACATTGCCTGTGGGTGCGTGAGAGAAAAAGAGAGATTCAGCAAGAGATATAGCGAGAGGTAAGGAAATGCATAGAGACGGCAGCACAAAGGGAGACTGCGAGTGTGTGTATGCGTGGGTGTGGAGAGAACACTTACAGAGTAGTCAGGATGGAGAATCAGCAAGGAAGCCTGCAGCAAGAAGAGTGGAAGAGGAAAGTGAAAGAAGAAGAAGGCGTGGGAATAAAAAAAAAAGGGGGGGGGCAGATATTGTAATAGAAAGACAGTGAATGAGAGGAGAAATGTATTTGAACAAACCTGCTTCAATACTGAAGGTATTACATGCAAGCTGTAGGGTATTATAACTGTGCCAACAAGAGTAGCTGAATCCACTGTCACTGAAAGTTGATACTATATCATTTTATCTAACAAGTGTGAAATGAAGGGGGGTAGAACTATAATACAACCCATGAGGGCTCCAGGATGATATGTATGTCCTTGCCATGTCAGCCTCCAGTTGAGGTAGCTGTGAAATGCCAAGGCCCCTAAAGGACTGGCAAGAGCTGCTTCACTCTTTAGTGTGAGTCTCTTGACATTCATCTTACTTTTAATAACCAGCGTTCCAATGTGAAGGACGTCTTCATGAGCCTGCAAGTCAGAAGGCAAGAGAGAGATTAAAACAGCAAAGGGGATATATCAAGGGACAATGTGCTAACGACTTCAGCAAATGTTTCTGCTGGCCCATTATGAAATTGACTTAGGTGGTGAAAAGTGGGAGCTACACACAGCTCTCTCTAAACAGCGCACACAGACGTCCATAGTTACATACTACTTGCAGAAGTTTGCTCACACTCATGTTCATCCAGCGTCTCCTTCATGCTCCTCCAAATGCATTAATTGAATAATCATTCAATTATGTGATCAGTGCCTTGTTCCTTTGAAATTAGTTAGCAAAGCTGACGTCTTGCATGGTGGCACTGCAGGGACTTCAGATAGACATCAACAATTAAATCAGAGGGAGATGGAAAGGGTAGCCTGTGGGTGTATGTGTGTGTTTGTGTGCAAGTGTCAGCCTTTAAGACCTAGACTGAGAACCAAATGAGGAACAAATATTGATTTGGGATTTCAGAGGCAGGAGCCATTAACAATTTGAGTGACAAATGCCTGAAGCATCAACAGACATTTTCTTAATTAATCTAGATAACATGATGCACAGATTGGAATGGATAACAGAAATTGCGAAATGTAATGGTAATAATAAATCAGCATTAGCATAAAATTATCTTAATGAAAAAATATAGGGATGACTATCAACAGATAAGATCAATCCCCGGACTACCAGAGAAAGGGTAGGAAGCCTGCTGCTTCTACTGCTGTGTCTGTTAGTGGAAAATGTTCAGTAAAAGCTGTTTATAAAATTTAAAGGTACAGTAATTAAAGCTTCTCAATACAGAATATACTATTCTGATGTATCAAATAAATGCAACAATTTACTTAATGCTTTTATAATAGTAAAATATACATGAAAACATTTAACTAGAGACTGCAGTGAATCTCTTCTCAAGTCCACAGCAGTGTATTTTCACATCCGGTGGTGGCATTTCTAAATAACAGCCTTAAACAAGATCAAGTCCAGCTGAGCGACAGGCAGTCTTCTCTCGCTTGTACATAATTAGTAGACATCAGCTAACTGTGAGCACTCATCAAGCTTCCATCCCTCACATTTTGTCCCTCTCTTTAGACAAAATACAGTTTAAACAGTTGGTTATAAAATCTTAGATGTCACTCTAAATGATGAAATTATAGTCGACTGGTTGTTTAGAGAGAGCAGATACACTAGGGGCGGCATGTCGGAGTGACTTTCTTCTATGTTAGGCACTTTGAGATAAATGTGTTAGAGTACCTCTGAGGCTGACGGGAATGTCTAGTTCTAGGTCATAAACTAAAGTAGTGGCCACACTGAAATTCTCACCTTTACTGTATGTGAAGGAAGGGGACCGACAGGGTTATTATATGTGTGGGGAGTTTGAATGTGTACCAAATGTTGTTGTAACTCAAGTACTGAGACAATTTACTCGGAACTGTCAGCATGCTGGTGATACTGTAGATGAAAAGTCAGGGGACCACTAAAGACTCTGTCTAGTAGATGTAATGATATTTCACTGGATAAATGAAAACTGTGACCTGCTGGTGGCACTTGAACCTGAATGTACTGTATGTAGCCATGAAACATTCCATTAAAATAGGTCTGGGCAGCACATTCAAATAATTAAATAATAAAAATAATAATGCCAAATATTTACAGTACGTTTCAGTGGGTAACAGTCAGTGTAAATGTGACTTGTTTGTTTATAAGAAAACATCACTTGGTACCATATCATTTGAAATTCAGCATACAATTGAACCCTAAATATATCAAATAAAGGTCTGTTATGGTTCTAAACTATCATTTATTTTTGAATCAATAAGTTGATCTGTGGCTAACATCATATCACATTTATTCCTCAACAAGAAAATAAGCATCACACAAAAGATGATCATATTATGCTTCCCATACCGGCTATTGCACTATTGCACATTGGTACTGTTGTATCCAGTTTTATGTACCATAAAAATCTAAATATACTGTATAAATTAAAAAGATGTGACATAAAGTGACAGCTGGCTAAGGGCGCTAGTGCCAGCAGACTTTGGCTTTCTGTATATAAAGTGATGGTGGAAATGACTTGTTGTGTGTTCTGTCTTTTGTCACCTCCATATTTTACCACAAGGCTTCATTCTGTGGGGATTATGTCTATGCCAGAATTCAGGGTTAGGGTTTGTCCAGCCAAAACCACAAAAAAACCTCTGTGCAAGATCACAGTATCTGACTGACACCAGAGGACAAGGTTTGTCCATACAGTTCACCCTTTTTTAAAAATATTGGTGGTGGCATGCTTCTTTGTTGCCTAATGTCCAACTCATCAATTCCATCTCTCTTTTTTTGTCTTGGCCAGGTGTTGCTACATGTACAGTAGTGCCATCTACTATAAAGGGTGTTCACAATAAAAATAACTGGTTATTAAAGGTGCCACTGAAATGGGCTTGGCACCAAAATTGAATTTAAGAGTTGAACC